TTGCACGTGTATAAGTGCATTCCTCGCTGATCTGGTGTAGATGCATCTCTGCACAGCTAAATGTTCAGCGATCAAACGTTAAATACAAATGGATCGTTCAGGTGAGACTTCAGAAGAATCAGATCAGTTGAAAATCCATTTAAAAAGAAATTCCACAAGTATTTCAACATCTGCAGCATCTTATCCCTATCCTTCAGTGATGATTCTTTTGAGTGAAGATGCGTGAGTGGATGCCAGTGAATACCAGAGAGTGTTTCATGCACATCCAAAGCCGCACAGACCACCAACAACAAACCGGGCTATAAATTTACAACAGATACTTCTGCAGTCCTGGCCAAGTAACCGGGACGCCTGGCGTAACCAAGCATCCCCTCAATTTATCTCTGTTGCTGTTTTCACAGGATGACTATTGCTTGTGTTTATGAAGATGGATAGAGCAGGCACCATCTAAAGCACCTCCTCCCTGCCTCCTCTCTCACTGCACAGAGATGGGAGACACCATCTGGTGGCTGAAATGTAAGAGTGCGACTTCATCCCCCTTAAAATCCTTCATGTCACATCCACAGGACACAAAGCGTCACCTGATTTGCTGCAGTTAAAGCACCAAATGTGACCAAGGAGGGCAGATGAGATGCCTTTCTGAGGATTTCTGGGAGATAAAAATCTACTCTTTGACCCGCTGTAATCAAACATGGACTCTTGAAGCGCTTTATTCACTGATCCTCTTGAGAAATCAAGAATTACTGCAGTTGAGCGAAGACTGTGTGTGGCGCACAGAAACAGAAAAAAACCCCAGATATGACAGAATGTGTTCTGCATGGAGTCGGCCGCTGTTGCCACGGTGACAGTGTGACTCAGAGCAGTTTGATTTGGTTTTGGAGTGGCGTCCTCTTTTGTGTATGTGTGTGTGTGTGTGTGTGTGTGCATAAGCATTTATGTGCCTGCATATGTGCACACATATATAAAAACAGACAGAGTAATTGTCCACCTCTCTCCTGTCTGTCACATTTGGAGCTTTTGTTCAGACGGGCTCTGCCTGTGTCTCATTACTGATGCTAACACTTAGGTAATGGTGCCTTTTGGATGAGAGTGAGCCACTTAATCTCTCTATTTAGGCTCTATCGCCTTCTCTCTCTCTCTCTCTCTCTCTCTCTCTCTCTCTCTCTCTCTCTCTCTCTCTCTCTCACACACACACACACACACACACACACACACACACACACACACACACACACACACACACACACACACACACACCTCCCCCTCAATTCTTCTAATACGCTACCTCTCTGTCTCCAGTAATTTGGCAGACAAGTCTATTATATGATACAGCCATATTTTATTAATGGACCCCCCATGGTGAACACACGCACACACCTTAATGGATGAGATTATGTGACACACGTGGAGCTTGTCTCCATGTAAAAAGTGATTTCAGCTTCTCAGAGGGTGAGGTTGGTTTGCGTCATTGTTAGAGGCAGAGCGACGGGCTTTTCTGCTGAATTTGGCGTCCTTCCTCCGCTCTTCATTACACATCCATCAGCTCTGGGATAACATGGAACACTGCAGCTCCAATCATGAAAAAAGGGGGGCAGAAAAGACTGAAAAGAGCATTCGGTTAAAGAGTAAAAGACTTCATGGAAATGCTTTTTCTTCATGACTTTCTGCCTTTCTCCTCCACACGGCTGAACAGATAATTCACTCCACATGTTTCAGCAGAGCCAGGCATTTCATGCAACTGCGATGAAGTTTTGCTGCTCCAAAACTACTTTTCTCAAGTTTTGCCTCGGTTGCAGAGCTCCTTTCACATTCACTGTTGTTTTTGCATATCTCCAGTCAAATCTTAGGAAAACCTGACCCAGCATTAAGATTCTGAGCCAGCAAACCTAGAATGTGGGAGCTAAAAAACAAAAAAAAAAAAAAAAAAAAAAACAATACGTTTTAAAGGGATTACAGTTGAAACTAAAAAAGTTGAAGATGATTTGAGATGAAAGGATAGTTAGGAAGAGGCTGAGATGTGAACATGTGTTCCAGATTTAATTAAAGCTG